CGAAAACCGCCCATGCAGCCAGCCCGTTCGCGGGATTCGAACCTCGGACCGAACTACCAGTGTTCAGCGTCTTTACCGCTCGGCCGTTGGTGGGCTTTTTAATTAAGGAATGACCATCTAAGTTAAGAAACAGCGTACCGTAACAAATTTCAATTATTGGCGCCGTATCTTTCATGTTACTCCCGATTGGCAGCTACATGATTTTTAATGAGTATTCGGATTTTACTAGTAACTTCACTTGGAAATCGCGCTTAAACTAGGTTAGTTGGTTATTGGAACATAGAAAGAACATGGGAGCTATTTCATTAAGATGCTTTCATAGAGAATCTTTGTAAAGAGAACCTAAAAAACTACGAAAACCAACCATGCAGCCTGGGTTAGATTGAGCAGCAATCAATTAGTATTTAACAATCTTTTCTTTTTCAAATGCTAGGCAACTGATGAGGCTCCAATTAAATCTCCAATTTAATATTTTATTTGTAAATATTTAAAATATTGTTTGTATTCTTAGACACAAAAAGAGAATTTAAGTTTTGTTAACTCGTTAGTAGACTACCAAGCCGTAGTGCAAATGAATATTCAATTTCTTTGGCAATAATTGTACTCACTTAATATTCTTGGAATATGAGCTAAAGAAGGAACGTTCTCGGAAGATTAAAGAAGTGTTTAAATCCAGTGATATTAGGTTTGTCTTACAAGATCTCAGGATCAAAACGATTCTGCAATTGCCCGAGTAGTTGACTTGTAAATGGCTGTGAATTAAGCAGATGACTTTTAATCTTACGTTATTCAGTCAGAAAAAGTATTCCCCCCCCCCAAAAAAAATAGTTTTGTATTGCATGACAATGCATCTTTCATTATTCAATAACCAATCGGAGAACCGCTTGTGTTCCGAAAAATAAGTATGTGTACTCAATCGTCCTGCATGTTCTTCAAATTTGTCTTCTTGTGATTTTTTTTTCTTCCCGAAAAACTAAAGTTTGGCTCTCAAAGGAAAGTTTTTTGACATTGAAGAGACAAAAGGAGTATGACATCTACTTTTAGAGGCAAGTCAAAACAGATCTCTACAAGCCTTCTCTTCCATTACATGTTGTGCAGTCAGATAAAAAGTTGCATCAGCGTACATTCTATAATATATTTTTATTACACTCTGATTACTTTATTAACATACAGTGAATATATACTAAATATTTTACTTTAGCTTAAGTAATTCGGAATTTTTGACGGAATTGTTGTCGGAACTAGGACTTAGAAGATAAGTCAAATTAAATATTTCAATAACCCAATAAATTCAAGTCGAAGTTTCAATATTTTATTTTCTGAGGGAAGGGAAATTTTTTCAGTTTTGGTCCATTATCCTAAGTTATATTTGCTTCGATTCTTTATTTTCCATAAAAGCGAAAAATTTTAAGCTTGGTATACATATAACGCATAGCTTCAAATTAAAATTTAATAATATACAGAGTGGTTATAATTAAAGTTATACATTGAAACGGTCATAAAAAGGAAAACTACTAGGATCAAATGTTATCAAACTTGGTAATCGTGTAAAGGAAGGTCACGAGAATTTATTTTCCGCGAAAAAAAGGAAGTTCGAAACCTCACCACCAGGTTAAAAAGGCGCTGTATGCAATATTATTGAAACGAAATATGGGTCGGAATCTAACTTAACATTTTGTTGCACGGGTTTAACATGTTGTATACCCTGTATATTAAGAAAATTTGAAGTAAGCAAATTATCATTTTAAAGGCGTTAAAGTCGATAAAAGTCAAGTGCGCCATCCGTGTAAGTGAGAAATTCGTCCGTGAAAACCACGAATTAGCGATTAAAAAGTGTGAGATCGCAAATCACTCGCACAAAGGCGTACAATCTGGAAATCATTTTCTTACAGATCGCTAATTTGTAATTTTTGAAGCCTGAATTAGGCCTTAAAACATGAAGATTCAAAACGCTTTTAATCGATTTGTGCCAAAGAAATCCCTCATGTTATCTACCTAGTTCCATTGCATTCTCCTACTGCATTCGATTGCATAGCAGTCATTCCACACCGTCTGGTTTCATAACTGAACCATTTTTCTTTGAAAGGAAGTCGACAGCTGGATCACTGTGATTGCACCTCGCTTAGAGTCAATGTTAAAATGTTTCGTGATACACGGACTGCACTAACGTGGCATTTTAGATACTAGGATTTTTATGCAGGGCTGGGCCCCACCTCACATGATCGCACATTACTTACGCAATATTTCACGAATGAACGTCTTATAAGCCGACACTTACCCTCTTCCCACCAGACCTCATTCTCTGTGACTTTTGGCTATGGGGTTATCTCAAAAGCATTGTTTATAGTGATAATCTAAACAATTTGGCAGAAATGAAAAATGTGATACACTGACATACCGCTGAGCCGTTTTTGGGGCTTTTTGAAATGGAAGGCGATAACTTTATTTAAAATGATTGTCAGAAATACAAAAATGTTTCGAAAAGTTGGATACTTTTTAATATACTTTCAGAATGCTTAAAGAAAAAGAGAAGAAAAATAAATTTTTTCTTAAAATTTAGTATTTGTATTTTTTTTTTTTAATTAAAACTTTTCAATCTTATGATATTTGATTCTTGCGATTTCAAAAATAAAATATTTGACTAAATATGAATAAAATTTTAAGAAACCAATGTAGGATAAAATTGTGTAAAGCAATGGGCACAATGATAAAACTGTTTAAAGCAGGTATGCAAGTGATCCTAAGTTAAAATGTCGGTTTAAACATCTCTCTTATTTATATATATCTTTTCTGAACGGAACATTGAAGGCGTGTAAAAAAACTGTGCTTTACTGTATTTTCTCTTTTAATATAGTATGCAGTTTTTCAAACGCTTGTAGTCTGGGTTACAAAGTATTCTTCCGAAAGAAACGCAGTTCATATAAGTAAAATCAAATTCTGGAAAATTGATATTAATAAATATATTTAAAATGCTCAGTTCGAAGGAATAAATAGAAAATTTTAAAACAATATCTGAAGAGACAATGCAACACAAACAATTTAAAATAAAAGTATAAAAATTTAAAAATTACCTAAATATAATAACTATGACGAAAAATATGTATAAAGAGAAAGCTATTTGAAAAAAAAAAATAATAAATAACGCTATATACCTTTATTACGCAGTTCGAATAGGTAAATAGAAATTTTTAAAAAACAGTTATTCGAAAAAAAAAGTGCAACTTAAACAATTAAAATGAAATTCGAAAAAGAAAAAATTACTTAAAATAATAAGTTATAATTAAAAATATAATATAAAGAATATTATTTGGAAAAAAGGAACGATGGTGACTTTTTTTCCTCTCACGGGAAAGGAAAACTAGGTTGCCATATATTAAGAAGTTCGCCAAGTGAAGTATTCTTGGCGCAAACTGACAAAAAAGTGCCAACATAAATTTGTGAATTTCTCCGTAAATTTCGCTCGAAATTTTACAAAAAATTTCATATTTAGGCGTAATTTGAGTCGTAGAATCGAAATATGTTAAAAAAATTGGTATGTTATTCAGAAAAAGTCGATTTTGTGTCAAAATACCTATGTTAGAATAGTGCTATATATAAATCTAATATATATCCTAAGTCACGCTTTAGAGACATGAAGAACGCAATTTGAATTTTGTCAATCGGCCGGGTAGATCTGGAGATATAGGACTGTCCCTTTTTTTTTTTCTTTTTTTTTTGAGCAGTGTACAGTAATACTCAAAACTGTTAAATATGATGGAATGCTTCAAATGTTAAAATGCAAAAATATATTCATTGCTATGACCCTGGAAAATACAGCAGTAAGTGGAGGCTGATCACTAATCCAAAACTGGAGACACAAAATCAGTTCCTCTGTAGAGTATGGTTAATTATATATACCAGAGTTGGCCAAACTTCATGTCAGTAAGAGCCGCATCTAGATTTTCTAAAAGCCACAAGTTCATATTTACATCATTATAGAAGTAGTGGAGAAGATTTTAAAAATAGAAAGAAATCCCTGATAACTTTGTAAAAAGAGTCTAAAATAATTAATTACTTCCTTTTGGACAATGAATAGTTTTATTTTACCATATTTTATACGCATGAGCCGCACAATTTGCCTGCGAAAGCCGTATCGGGCTCGCGAGCCGCACTTTGCCCACCCCTGATATACTGGCCTTTCCCTTTGTTGCATGTATGACATCCGTCACCCCTATGATGCACTGAGGGTAATATTGTCGTTAATAAAACAGTTAAGTGACTGATACGTTCAGTCATAATTCCTAACAATTACCTGGCCATTAGCCACTAGAAAAATTTTCAGTTTACATTAGGATATTCTAATAATTTCATTTCTTGTTACATAGCAGATTTCAAAAGTATCAATCTTGTTCCAATTCCCACTGAATCATGGAAGAATAACTACAAATATTGTTGCAAACCTTTACCATAGTTGCTGCAGATCATTTATCATTTCATCATGCATAATGTTTTTTGCTAATTTCAACAAAATATGTTTATCAAAAGAGCAGCACTGGGTTAGACTGGAGTTTGCCAACATAGCAGAAATGGATTAGTTCATGCATTGGAGAAAGACAACTTCACATCTTTATTCCACATTTACCAAAGCAGGTGTTTTTACTACATGTGAACAATTGAATAATGTCAATGCATTTTATAATTTTGCATTAATATATTTTTAAATCTCTGCAATTTTTTTCCCTAGATTATATTACTGTATTTTGCACTCTCTAAAAAACATCACTGCTGTTGTTTTTAAATATTTTCATAATCATCAATATATATTGTATGGCATGTGCATATATCAAAATCTCTGAAAATTTTGTACACTTATTTTTATAATTTAAAGATAGTTTTATGTTTTGCATATAAATTATTTATGTTTTATGTTATCATATTATGATTTATGGTTTACGTTATCATATAAAAATTTTTTGCGTTGAATACATGTATGGATTCAAAGTATAATTTACAAAAAGAAATAAATCAAGCAAATTTCATTTATTATTGCTTTTATGAAATACATTAAGCTTTCTATGGTCTCCTAACGTCATAATTTTTCACACTGCTTTTTGATCATTGATACTGAACTGCATCATAATCTCCGAGTTTCAACAGCATTTAAAAATTACTTGCTTGTTTTTTATTAGCAAGTACATATTTTCCACATTTTAAACTCCTAAAGTAACTTCTTTTAACAATGCAATAGTAATCAATTAAAAATCTCGTATTCAACTTGCTTAATCTCTTAAAATGAGATGATCAGCTTCATTTGAGGAGCCTTGATTTTTCTGTGCATTATCAAGTTCATTATTCATTGCTAATGACCTGAAATGCTATAAAATATACAAGTGTTGATTCAGTGAATTATATTTAAAATATAATATAATAATAATAATATATTTCAATTTAAAAAAATCATTCAAAAAATCAGTCAAACTGAAACTGTACAATATGTTATATTGGTTCAATCATAGTGCAGTTATTTATAATAATATTGAAGCACATTATTCAGAATTTATATATATATATATATATATATAAGAATCTCTAAGTAAACTGCGCTTTTTTTTAACTATTTTTCCTAGTTTTACAGGAAAATTGGATGGAATTTTAACAAAAGTACTTTATTGAATATGTAATTCTGTTTGACCGTAAATGAAATGAAAAATCTTATGCAGTGTTATTACAGTCACATAATATGTGGAAGGTCCCAGATTCAAGCAATGGCAGGCCTTTACATGGTCATAACCAAGGCCTGGATTTTAGTGACCTAAAAGTTCACACAAAATATCTTTAAAAATGGAAAAAAGGCCTTTAAAAATTAAAATCACCAAAAATAAATACAGTAAGACCCCGCTTAACGCTGTTTCGTTTAGCGCTGTTTCGGTTTAGCGCTCTTTTATTTCAACCCGGGGATTCCACGAAATCGCTCGCAGCATACGGGGATTCCCCGAAATATTATGCAGCGATAGGTTTCAAATACATATCCGAAAGAGTGTACTTGTATTTCTTGTTTGGTGCGGTATTGTACAGACATATTTTGAAGGGGTAAATGTGGAAGATGTCGAAGAAATAATTCAAGAAGCAGCGGCTAGTCTTTCTAATGATGAGCTCAAGGAATTAACTGAACAAGAAGAAAACAAAAATGTTTACAGCAGTGATTCAGAAGAAGAGCAAAAAGAACTTTCGATGGCGTTTGTAAAAAGGAGTTTATCTACCGTAACTGAAATAATGGATCAATTCATTGAAAATGATCCGAATTTTGACAGGAGCTCAAAAGTAAGGCGTGGTGTTAGAGATGCTCTATCCGTTTCTGAAGAACTTTTAAGAGGACAACGCAAAAGAAAAGGCAAACAACATTAGATGCTTTTGTCACAAAAAGGCAGAACACTGAAAACGCGGAAGGCTAACTAAATATGACTGACTGAGAATTTTATTTATTTTTTTTTTATTTTATTTTTTATTTTTTTTTTTTAAAGAATATTCGTTTTGTTATTTATATTTGTTATATTTGTTTTTATTTTTGCAAGAAATAATAATGTGGTATTAATTTTTGGGCTTTAAGAAATAAATGTTTGGTTTTATTTTTATTAAAAAACATACTTTTTAAATTTAATACCTAACCAATTTCCTAGCCTTCTTCCCCTAACCCAGGGGTCTCCAAACTACGGCCCGAGGGCCAAAACTGGCCCGCGAGCACTAATAATCCGGCCCGCCAGAGGTTTCTTTAAAATATTTTTTTTTTAATTTAAAGTAACAAATAACATACACATTAAATATTTTATAATAACAGCCAATCTAGAAATGCGTTGCCTATCATGCGCGTTGTATATAAAACATAATATAGACATTATACAATCATTTCTAAATGTACTATGAGGGAAATACGCTCTATATAAAAAATCTGATGTGGACACACATGAATTCCTCATATGTCCTTTAAATTATACGTATTTTTTTGGCCGCACTTCATTTAAACTTATTTCCTCCTCGAATTTCATTAGAGATATAGTTCTCATTCATTCAATTCAGTTCTCACTTCACTTCGTGACGAGGCAAAAAATACATAAAAACGCAAAAACAATCTTCAAACAAAACAGGAGTTGAAAATGTAAACAATATAGCGACTTTAGTAGGCTTAGTAGCACTTAAAAACAACTTTTAAAATATTGATAATTCTACAACTATTGCATGCAGATTAAATAAAGTCATAAAAACCTTAACCCCCTGAGTCACTTCACTTCGAAAGCAAAAATCGCACAATCTACACAAGGATATAAGAATAAAAATTAAATATAATCAAGGATATAAGAATAAAAACTAAACTCCCCGTCTCCGGTAACAGACTGGGTAGATATACATAGAGTTCTGATGCAGCCGATTGCAAATAAAAAGGGAGGTGCACAACTACATACATGTTATACATGTCCCATATACAAAATTTCAACGTTTTGAGGCCACTCGTTTTCGAGTTATGCGAGATACCTGCATACGTACGTACAGACATCACGAAAAAAATCTCTTCTGAATCCATTTTGAGAAAAAGATTCATTTATTCTGCCTGTACGAACAGATGTCACGCCAAAAAAAAAGTTCAAATGGATTCGAGAGAGAGAGAGAGAGAGGTCAAAATGGATATTTTCGTTGAAATATGATATCCGAAATTTTTCGCGATTACAATACTTCCCTTACTTCGTACAAGGAAGTAGAAAACTCTCATTGTACTCTTTACAAGAATAAAGGTTTCGTGTGTTATCTTTTCTAGTTTTTATAGTAGCATTCTAAGTTGCTTCATAGAAATTTTCAGTAGTGATTTTATTTAAATCTTAATTTTTCTAAAGATGTTGTAATTTATTTTAATTTTCGAGATTTTTTTAAACTTGCTTATGGAGCGAATGTTTTGCCAGCTGATCAAAATGTAAACAAAATGCGCTGATAAATCAATCAATTGAAAAGCAAAGTACATACTAAACCGAAGAAATCTAATATTCTTGGACAAAATTATATTTTTTTTGCAAATGTTCAAAAAACAGCTTTAAAAAGAAATTTATGTTAGGTGAAACTGCATGAAAGTCTAAAAAAAAAAAAGATCTCTTTGTAAGGTCATAGCGTATAGATCCAATCACAAAAATCTTACTGCCTCGTTTAAAAACTTGTATGCTGTTCATCATAGTTGCATCGCCATGGATGATGAACTAACTGGATCTTGGCCCTCGAAGCTTCGTTAAAGCCCCAATATGGCCCGCGGGCTGAAAAGTTTGGAGACCCCTGCCCTAACCCCAATATTTACATGTAAAGATAGCCTCGTTTAGCGCTGTTTCGCATTACGCTCTACTTTGATGGAACGTATCCCCCGCGTTAAGCGGGGTCTTACTGTATAATAATATAAAAAGTGACAAACTTTGATAAATGGATTAAAATCCAATTACATATACCTGTCACTTGAATTACCCTGTTCCCTCCAAATTTTCAATCTTAAATAAATATATTAAAGTTGCAGTGAGTTATCAAAAGCTGCTTGTTTTCAAAAGTGAAAGATCTGTTGTTAGTATATAAATTTTTATATCATGAGAAGCTTCTGTCAACGTCTTCTGCAGTTATTAGAGAAGTGCATCACTTATCATTAACTCTTCTTCAGTTTCAAAAGAATTTGCTTCTTCTGTCAAGATGAAAGATAATTTCTGCAAATTTTTAAGGCACAATTTTTTGTCTTAATAGTGCTAAATTTAGCAAATGCAGTACATGAAACTTTGCAACTGGCCTTTTTTAAAACATTGCCTAATTTATCAATGTAATTTATTGAATGACAAGTTCCATATTTTGCTATTGTAAAGATTTAAGAGTTAAAATTATCAGGGTAGAAAAATGTATTGCACATAGCTGTGAGTGTGTTCCAAAGACGTGTCTGTGAAATAGCTTTTCCCCTTCTACATGTTAACTTATGGAACTGAACGTGGAAAAAAATTTTGAAAAGCTACAAAATGCCAGCATGGAAAATTTCTTAGGAGTGACATTTATACCTTTTGGGAGGGGGGAATTTCTCATAATAGGTAGGATTACAGAATCAGTTTTCTGTGCATAGGACATGCCTATCTAGTAAAACGTTCATAGGAAATGAGACAACGTTATTTCAAGAGTGACTTTATTTGTCTGTTTGATTATAAGAATATGCTTCAAAATGCTCTAAAAACTTGAATAATGCTTTAAAAGAGGAAAATACAAAAATATGCATATACAGTCAAAAGTCGTTAATTCGGACGCCCATAATCCAGATAGATCTATAATCCGGACCTCAAAGCTACAAACTTTTGCGCATGCGTCGCGTTGACGCATGCGCATAGACGTTTACGCGTGCGCGTAAGAACTTTACGAATGCGAATATGCGTGTGCGCATGCGCATAATACGTTTACGCATGCGCGTTTAATGTATAACGGACGGTATAAGCTAAGCTAAAATGATCTAATTCAGTTAATGTTGCAGATTGCGTTGTTCCTTAATCTTCGAATTAGATCCGGCTTATTATTTTTTGCAGACTGTTATAGCAATTTTATAAAATTAAGCTTGAACTTTCGATTATGTCAAATAGAATTTCCGATATATATATTTACTAATATGTAAAGGATCTACAAAGCGAAAGTATGTTTCGAAGTCCATTAACAAAAAGTGGAATTGCTGCAAAAAATGAATAAAGGCATATCCTTTGATTATCTAATCATTCCGAAATATGTTTATCAATTTCACGCTGATCTGCGGGGTGGAGGGAAACGACGCAGCGCGCAATGAATTGGAAGTTGATCTGTCAGCACTATCCTTATCTTCAGGGCAGATGTTTTTATTTTATTCGGCTTATAATTCCTTACTAAATGTAGTATTTCATCTCGATGTACTCCGTCTTTGATATGATTTAAATCAAGTTCCTTGTCATTATAATTCGCTTTCGATAGTGAAGAAAGTGACGCAGATGTTATTGAAAACGAAAAAATTTCGATTGACAAATTAGTCGGTATTCTCGACTCAGCAATGATAGGACTTGAATAGCAGAACTTTGTAACTAAACAAGAAATTATGTCCGTTTAATAGAATTAAAGAGAAAGTATTATCACATGAAACGAAGCAACTTAAACAACTTACTTACATTGAACTTACATTGAAAGAAATCTTTAATAAAGTAAACAAATAAATATTAAGCTTTTTCTTTCTGTAAATTTTGATACCCTTTAGATCATAATTGTTCTTTATTGCATAAATTACGGTTTCATATTTTTAATTTTATAATTTCTGCATGCCACCTTACCAGATTTAAACTGATGATCTATAATCCGGAATCGCCGAAGTCCCGACGAGTCCGGATTAACGACTTTTGACTGTATAATCAAAATCCAGACCTTGATCATATATGGCATATATATAAGAGTATTCAAGATGGTATTTACATGCTTTATTTCCTTTAGTATTGACATACATGCTTTATTTCCTTTAGTATATTTTAGTATACTTTCAACTATAAAATTTTGCAGAATAAAATTGAGAATTTCATAAAAATAGTTTTAATACTTTGGTGAAAAGAATCTATAAGTTACAAAACAGAGTTTTTATATGATCTCCATGCAGCAGCTATTACAGCTACATAGAGTAAAATTTACAGTACTCAACCGAGTAAAATATCAAATTATGCATTAAATTAAATGCAGAAGTTCCAAACCCTTATATTTAAATTTGCGGAGACATTTCAGAACTGATTCAAATTGTTTTTTTAGTTTCAATACTGAAATTCAAGCTTTCTCTCTTGAATCAAATTTTGGATGGAGGAAATTGCAGCTTGCTTTGTAATTAATAGTTTAATGCTGTTTAAACAGCCTTAGTTATTAAATTTGCATCTGAATCAATGAAAACTGGATATGGAATAGGATTGAAAAAAGGTATAGAACAGAGATATTTAACTTATGGAAACATAATAAATATTCATTAACTCTAACTTGTGCTCGATAGACATAAGACGAAAATTTACAGATATATGTAGAATCCTTCCAACTACAGTACTAAAACTGTTTTCATAAGATACCATACCTTATTTTGAGAAATTTGTGATGAATAATTGCGCTTGTAGGATCAATATGTAATGAAATTTTGCAATCTTCTTTTCTAGATATCCTTATAGTCATAACTAACAAATAAATATATGTATGGAAATGAAGTGTATATAGATAATAAATTATAAATGAAATAAGTAGGAAATAATAGCAATAAAATAAACTATTATACTTTACCTATGTTGTATAGTCATTAGGTTAATTGGAAGCAGAAAAGATGAAAAATATGCAACCGCCTTCGCCGGGAATCGAACCACGGACCTCTAGAATACCGGCCCAGAGTGCCACCGTTACACCACGAAGGCACACTAGGAAAGTGGGAGCAATACCTTATATACTCCCCTTTTTAAAGGGCAACTAGGGTTTTAGGGGACTTAGTCGCCAAATTCTGGGTGCGGAGAATCATCATCCACAACCCTTTTAGTTCGGGAGCCACTTGTAGAGTCATTAGGTTAATTGGAAGCAGAAAAGATGAAAAATATGCAACCGCCTTCGGCGGGAATCGAACCACGGACCTCTGGAATACCGGCCGTTACACCAAGAAGGCACGCTAGGGAAGTGGGAGAAATACTTTATAATGTTACTGGCATGTTTGTAATCAAGTTTAATGTTTTGTGATACACTTACTAGTGTGTCATCAAAAGCGAATTAATTAATAACTGTATTTTGTTTACATTGAAATTAAATTAACCTTGCAGATACTTTTCCGAAAATTATACATTTTGACTACAACTATATGATAATTATCAGTAACTTTTACTCACCTGTGAATTTCTGAATTCTAGATACAGAGTAAAAAGTATATGAAGGGACTGTATTTTTGATTTGTGAACAGGTACATCCATTATACCTAAAATTTAAAAAACACAGCAATATAAGGTATCATAAAAACATGAAAAACATATATATGCATTCATTCAAAAGACATATCTCTCAAATTGCATAACATAACACTGTAGCACAAATAAACATATAGGTAAAAAATTGCTTATTATAATCTAGTTATACATTAGAAGACTATAAACCACATTTCTTATTTCTGCCAATTATTATTATTAATTCAATCAATCAGAATGCTGATACCACTTGAAGTTACAATATGATCTAAACAGAATAACAATAAAAATGTATATTCCTACCACAAATTAACTCTACATATTCTTCGAGAGAACAATCCAGATCAGCAGATGGTAGTCCAACCTACAAGGAAAACAAGCAGTAAATATATGCTTAGTTCTTGCTATTTCAAAGTTTTAAAACATAATTCTGATTAATATTTTTTTAGAAATTCCAGGTTAACCAGATAGGGTTGAAATCTGATAAATGGATGGAGAGAGGTAACTTGGAATTATGGAACAGATAATGCAGACCAGGCAGGTTTAAAATATATTAGACCTGTGCATTAGGTAAAAATATTTTAACTTGATTGCTTTTAACATTTTCCTTTAAACTTAATTTAGTTTTCAAATCTATGAAAGACTAAAGGCATTACCATTTTTAAAAAAAATAATTTAAAAATTGGCAAGAATAATAAAGAATTAGTAAAAATAGTATGATTAAGGTATAATAAAAAATGGTAAAATGTTCTAGAAAGATCACATTAATATTATAGTAGGAAATATCGAGTGAAACATGTAAATGTATTTGAGGTTATGAATGTCATTCTCTAGGTTGAAACCAATCCAGAGGTACATGAGACACTGCTTGCCAAGTCATTCGCTAACACTGGTAGTTGACCTTTCAATTTTATGGGCTATGGTTTTCGTGGCATGTGCAGTCCCGGATCTAGAGGGGAGCAAGCCGGGCGGCAACTTCTGCGGGCAGCAAATTCAAGCGTGTTACTGGATCGTATTTGGAATGTTGTCTAATTTTTGATACAATATTAGTAATTTTAAAGACCACTTTTAAGAATATTTATAATTAATTACTAAGAAACAATTTAATGAAACAAACAGTTAAAAGAAAGCTAAGTACATCCGAATACGACTGTAAAGATAAGATCAGAGAGAGGACAATCGAGGAACTCCAGGCGTCACTGACAAGGTCAGACGACCCTGTCCTGGAGGCTCGTGCCTCTGCCAACTCAACACAGCCTAAATATAATAAATCTGGGGGGAGGGGTGTTGACCAACCTCATTTGATTTTTCACTGCCGTTCGCTTGCCTTCCCAAAAGGGATTATTGCCCTTTTATGCAAGCTCACTTCAAAATGTCTTGCCCGATCGTATACCAACTTCGCGGAATTAATTGAAGCCCTCCTCAATTCTCTAAGGAGGTAAGAAAGGAGGTTATTTCCTACCTCCATGCAATTCTCCTCGACAACTAACAATGGTCAACTTTTCAGTCCCTCACTTTAATGTACAAAGGGTGACACACAAAGAAGAAACTATGAATTACGAACGAATTACTTTCTTTTATACTCATATTATATTTTTATAATAAAGAATGATGAGTCAGAACTTGTTTATGCTCCACAGGAATTAAAAAAATTTTCAAGTTGCAACATTTAGCTGCTATATGTTATTTTTGACAATTATTATATAAAGAAGAAATTTGGGACTTAAGTAGTTAAAATCTTGCAAAGCGATAGTTAATGTTCTAAAATATTATCTCCCAATTCTTGAAATTAAAAGTGGTCAATTAATGTCAAAAACTAAATAGGAAAAAATTGAAATTAAACTGAGTTATCGTGTTTCTTAAAATTACCATCCATATTTACTGATGTAATTTTAAGAAGTGTAATAACCGAGTTTAATTTGAATTTTCTCCTATTTAGTTTTAACATTACTTGTCCACTTTTAACTTCACTTTGGAGGTAATGTTTAATATATCAGTTTTGACGTATGTAAACCAGATAAATTAATGAACCTACAAGAAATTGATATATATATCTACTATATATATTAAATCAACCTATCAAATATCGGATTTAAGAGAAGATACTACAGTACTAATATTAATTTGCATCGCAGTTTATTTTATTTTTTTTTTTTTTTTGTTTTGTTTTGATAAATATTTATGAATTTTCTTAGATCTTAAATTTCAAATTCAACATTTTAGGTAAATAGTTCTAATCTAATTTTAAAATTCTTTTCATTGAATCCCAAAATTCGGCTTGTTAAACGGTTCTAAATTCATACAAATATTGTTAGTAGACCGACAATATATCTTTAGCACAATTTTTACATTAGTTACATAATTAGCACAATTTTTGGATAACTTCAATGCAAAGCAATTGTTCCGTACCTAATTATAAGCGCTACTGTGGCAGCGTGATGAAGAAAAAGAAAACTATTTAAGTTACCTTGGAAATCGCAGACGACTTTTTATTTTTAGATTTTGGTTTCTAACGGTTTGATGGAATAGAGTTAAAAAGTGTCGTGAGTGTTTTCAAAATGAAAGTAAATAACGTTCTTTTAAAACACTGAAATTTTTTAACAAATGTCTAAAATCATCAGCAGCAATTTCTGTGAGATTTTAGTAATGCGTGAGTTTTTCAACTAAATATTACTGTGGAATTTCTTGTCCAACCACACAGCGTTTTAGGATTTTCCTGCAAAAAAAAACTCTTTTATGTCACTTGTCATTCTGCCGAATAATTGCTTTCAGATATAATATGAGTCTGGAGATTTCCTAAAATATGTGAATGCTTGAAACATCTACGGAAAATATTACAACAAACATCTTTTTAATAAATTGTTTCAGTGTGAGCTTCTTACGTTTCTCCATGTAGTTACCTAATTGTGTGTAATCATTAAAATAAGAAGTTTCATAATTTTCACGCTACTACAATACATTTTAATTCTGATTTTTACATCTTAAACAACTCGTTGGAACGTGTAGACGAAATATTATATTATTTTCTGCACGACTACATTTTTTTAAGGATAAATGTATAAGTTCTCATTTAAGAAAAAATTTCGTAGTAATAATCAGCTGAAAAACTCGTGTATTACTAAAATCCCACAGAAATTGCTGCCGCTTGTTAAAATATTTCAGTGGACTGCGTTTTAAAAGCACTTTATTTACTTTCAGTTTAAAAACACTCGCGGCACTTTTTAACTCTATTCTCTCAAAACTGTTAGTATCCAAAATCTAAAAATAAAATGTCGTCTGCAATTTCCATGGCAACTTAAACGGTTTTCATTTCCTTGACCGCGCTGCTGCCACAATAGCCTTATAAATTAGGTACGGAACAATTGTATTACATTGAAGTTATCCAAAAATTATGTAAATTATGTAACCGATGTAAACACTGCGATGAAATTCGCTTTATTGCCTATTGTCATATTTTGTGTGAATTTTTAATTACCAAATTCAACGATTCGAAAGCGAACAGTGCAAACACTATACGAAAAAAAAAAAAATACCTCTGGAGTGGCAGTCTCTCGAAACTCAACATGTAAAATCACGAAAAAAATCACTTAAAACGTTTTACACTTTTTAAATTGCTCTCACGGTGTGTTTCTCGCATTCAGAAGTAACAACGGTATCAAAGCCATCAAATTCTGAATAACGTAGTACTCCACCCGAATATGAACACCTGAAATCCCGAATCTGGAATCTATTAATATTTATGTTTCATTGTCTATTTCATATTTTGTAAAGATTTAACGAATTGTTGATTAACAAATTTAACGATTCCAAAGCGAGGAGTGGTAACACTCTACGCAATGAAATACCTATAGCGGGCCGTGAGTGTCTATCGAAAATTTAATTGGGAAAAATTTTTAAATCAATTTTTGTATTTTACAAATAAATAATAAAAAAGTTAAACATTAATTTTTACAAGCAAGTCCTTTCCGAGAAATTCATGTAGAATTGGATATTTAGTCCAAATTTTTAGTCCAAAGGGGCTTTGTACCTGAAGGACTATCGTTTTCGTTTTGCGCTGAAGCCTTTAAAAGGCTGTATCACTTTTCAAATCGTTGCCACCCAATACTATCGCCCTGTATTATATCTGAAGAAATTAAATAATGAAGAATCTGCATAAATGTATGGATGTTTCTCGCATTGTGATAAAACAACGGAATCTAGAGCTATCAAAATTTGACTTACGTAATCTTCCATAGAATATGGGCACGCGGAAGCCCTAATTTGAATTTGAAAATTGCTTGAAAATCCCTAATGAATTTGAAAATTATAGATTTCATATTTTGTAACACTTCGATGAATATTTGATTAAAAAACTCAACGATTTCAAAGCGATAATTGGCAACGTTGTACAAAAAAAAAAAAAAAAAAAAAAAAAAAAAAAAACCTTTTTATCTCCAGCGCGCGGAACTGCGTATCGGAAATTCTAAAGATACGCTCAATAAAAAATTATTTTGCGATATTGCTCTTGAACTGAATTTTATGGTTTAAGTACGAAGAACACGATATTCAATAAATAAAGGTAACACACAAAATATTAGAAAAACGCCCCTTTGGACGTAATTTAAAGTCTGGAACCTTTCAGATGTTCTTAATTTCTTTAAATATAATACAGGGCGATAATTTGGTGACAAGAAATTAGACCAACGCTGAAAATATTGACACTGTGTGTGACGTACCGAAGTCAAGTGTGACATGCGACAAGTGAAATAAATGCATAAAGTATTTCAGATTAATGATATGTCATCTTTTAACGCACTATTTACTGTTTAAAGCTATGATTATTATTAAGTTACTTATCAGAAACATTCTCATATATTAAGTGTATTGGGAAGTAATTCGAATGGTTTTGATATTGAGAAATTAAGGTCGATAGCCTATTTTTCAACTGATAGTCTAATACATGCTGAATTTTTTACTACTAATATTTATGTTATAAAAAAGATATATAACTTGATAGTATAATTCGTGTGGACTCCTTAATCAAGGGGAAGTTCAAATAAGCAAAAATCGTGCATACATTTATAAATTTTTGCATCTGCGCATTATTTTCTTGCGAATAAACTATGAAAGATTTGAAAATTTGTGCGAAATGGGAGAAAGTGTAATGTTTCAGACCCCTATCCTCCACTCGGAAACCTTTCTTTGCCGCTACAGCCTTCCACCCCTCACAAACGATGCAACACGTGGAAATTTGAAATGTTTATGACCAAACCTTCCCTTGTCCTCCTCATCCCAGCTGAGAGGAGTGCAAAGTTTCCGTGGAAATGCCCCACCCCTCGGCATCATTCCTTGTTTCCTCCCCCCCCATGGCTGTAAACTTCCAGGGTAGTAGCAGGAGCAACACACTTTCTTTAAACAACTGAGGTCTGTTATAAAAGGCAAATATTTTACGCATTTCTTTTAAAGCGTCGAGTTTTCGATTAAATTTGAAGTATGTTTGCCTTAGACTTCTATGAACAGTTACATTTCAGAATGTTAAAAAAATTTTTTTTCTTGGCATTTAATGCCACACTACCCGTTGCTGCATCCCCCCGTCTCTTTTCAAGCTCCTTCTGATGAATGTCAGTCCACACCCAGATCGTAACCTCCACTTGGAATTTTTTGCCTTATGGCTGTAGTGTCCTCCCTTCCCAAACGATGCAACACATAGCTATTTGGACGACCCCCATCCCAAGCAATTTCATCAGAACTTTTAAGGATAAAGGCACTTCTGTAAGAATTAGAAATGTTTTTATAGTTATGAAAATATGTATTTACTCCTTGGATTAATTTGTTTCTGTTTGTACTTGGAAATATATAAATTAGCAGTTCCGTAGAAAAATAGCCATCGAATATAGTCATTTCAGACATAAAAATCATAACGGAAATTACATTTATAGTTTTTGAATCAATAAGTTGTTTCAGTAAACTGGACAGTTTGATAGTTCAGTTGTTGTAAACTGGACTATCAAATGTGTTTTCGTCGGAATATGAACACGAGACTCCGATTTGTAGCCGGACGTGATTCCAACTCCAAGGTTAACGAGCAATTTTATTTGTTATATGAAAATGCTATTTAAAACAAGATTGAACATTTCAAATGATATACCGGGTACGTATTTATTTTATGATTTGATAGAAAATTTGCATTAATATTTAAAACTGCTCCTGAGCGAGATATACGAAAATCGTATATAAATATAAAAACAAGACAAACACATTTTTGGGGAAAATATGCCGTTTTGTGACATATTTTAGTTGTACCTCTGTATTGTGGTAGCGCCATAAAAAAGAAATAAAAACGATTTAAGTTGCCATGGAAATCGCAGATGACTTTTTTTTTTTAGATTTTGCAATCTAATGGTTTAAGAGAATAGCGTTAAAAAAGTGCAGTCAGTGTTTTCTAAATGAAGGTAAATAAAATTAAATAAAAAAAATCGCTAATTTTTAAACTTCAGCGCACTAAACTTCTTGTAAAAAGCGTCTATAATCGCTAACAAAAAGTTATATTATTCCAAAGTGGTAATTTGGCCAGAAGAAATCCTAATTTTGTTTTGGAATGTTACTTTGATTCACTATAATTGTCCTTTCACTTTTCAAATTGTAACCACCCAATATTAGCGCCCTGCAAGCCTAATGACTCTACAAGCGGTTATTAATTTGGTCTCATTATTAAGCCAAGCGGTCTAATTATTTTGCCTTTATTTGTTCTTGGAAAAACTCGTTTGGTATGCACACAATGATTTTTGGTTGGTTTATTAGATTATAGCAAAGAACTGGAGGTCTATCTCCCTCAGGGGAGGGATGCCTTCGTGGAGGACTTTCCAAAGGGAAATGGCTCGTATACACGTTACGCAAGGTGAGAACGCCCATGTTCGCGGGACTCAAACCTGAGATCGAACTACCAGTGTTCAGCGTCTTCACCGCTCCGCCGCTTAGTTGGCCGTATAACACCCAAGGATCCAGAACTGAATAATGAAGTATACAGAGGTACTACTGTATGAGGATAATGTGACCAGCTTGTGTTTCTCGCATTGTGAAAATTCAACGATTGCTAAAGTAATCAAATTTTGAATATAGTCGTTCGGCTCGGCTGTGGAACTTGAGATTTATTGTCTATTTCATATTTTGTAAAGCTTTAACGAATTTTTAAGCTCAAGGATTCAAAAGCGGGCGAGACTGTCTATCCGAAATTGTGAACATATTCTGTTTTTGAATGTTTTTTGAATGAATCCAAAGGGACGTTAGCCCAAAAGCTCTGAAATGCTTATGTTTGCGTAAATTAAAAACACGCCTAAAAATTCACTAAAAAATTTATTTTTTCATTCACATGCATACAAATTTCATGAATACAAATTTCATTTACATGAGCACATTTCAAACACTGAGTTCGAAATCATTTGAGTTAAACATTTTAGAAAGTCACGAAGGCATCAGAATTTTAGCATACAAATTTCGAGAACATTTGAGTTAAATATATTTAGAAACAGCACATCTTTAGAATTTTCGATACACAGTCTCATGTACTGGAAATAAAAATAATTTTCCCCCCTACAGTGTTGCCACTGTTAGCTTTGAAGTCGTAGAGTTTTTTGATAAAAAAATCGTTAAAAGTTTAAAAATGTGATAAAGATAATAAAACAAAGCCGAAATTCAAAGATTCGGGCTTCCAGATGCCCATATTTTGGTAAAGGACTAAGTTATTCAAAATTTGATGGCTCTAGGTTACGCTGATCTTTAATACTACAAGAAAATACATAACTTCATTTTTTATTATTAATTTCTTTAGATAGAATACAGTGCGATAGTATTCGGTGATACAATTCGAAAAGTGATAGAGCCGTTTGTAGTGATTCCACGTAAAATACCACTTCGAGACTTAATAGCCTTTCTGCGCTAACTTCCTTTTGGGTTAATCATAAATTAAAATTTTATATTTCTATTCCATTTCAATTTTTGCTTTTTTTTGCCTTAACGTAGAAAAAACTACTGTGATAAACTATCAGAATGAAGCAATTTCTACGGGAAATCCAAAGGTAGAAAATCAGCATTGATAATGAAAAGTAACAGTTGATAATAAAAAAATCTTTAAGATTCCAAAGATTTTTTATTCGCATAATTTTAGTTCTATATGCTTAATTTAAACGTTCAGAATCTAAAATATATAAGTATTGTTAAATCATCCATTCAAACCAAATTACTGAATCCCAAATACATATTAAATATTTGCGCCTACTAATCTTCTGTTTCACATTGAATCCGATCGAAATAAAGAAAACAATATGAACAAAATTTTCGCTTTCTAATTTGAAAGGTTTCCTTTTTTTTTTTTTTTTTTTTTTTTTTAATCCTGACTGAATTTAAAAAAATTAACTTAGCTCCCAAATTAATTTAATTGAAAATTTATATGAATTGTTTAGAAATTTAGATGAATTTACTATATTCTGTTAAATATAGATTAATAGTCCTTTCTCTGCTTATTAAAATTGTGTCCGGGTAACTGAGATTTTTGCTTACCGTACATGCTTTGTTTCTTTAATGGAAAGTCTACTCTCGATTAAGGAATCAAGACCTGTATATCATGACCATGAATTTGTGGAATACTACCTATTCTACTTATTCATAGTATCGTAACATGGAATATTGTCATGTATACTTACTATTTATCCATATTTTTTTAGTTGAAACCCCTTGCAGGTTTATACTTAATTCGATGCAAAAAAAAAAAAAAAAAAACATTCGATAAATATTTTAGAATTTAAGAAAAATTCCGCTGATTTTATAAAACGTCATGGATTGCCATCACGCATATTTGTTTGCGCTTTTAGTAGGCAGAAAATTCATCAAGAGGGAACAAAGCCACATAAACATATGGAAATAGGAAAGCAATTCCGCTGACGGGAACGGTCAAGTACAGAACTAAGCTGTAAGGCGTGTGCATGCATGCATATATATACATCCCCAATGAATGGTTCGATCTTCATTAATCATTGCCGAAAAAACCCTTCCTTCACACACTAGTTTGCATAAGGTATCACGTTAACTACGCCTCATTCTAAGAAATATTCTAGAATCACCACTTTGCCTCAAAGAGTCAACGCAGTGTTGTTTGTTTAAAAGAAGAAGGTTTTTGGAAAAAATTTTTTTTTAAGTTTGACAGCGTCTTCAAAGTTTTAAACTGCGAAAGGGCAAGAAAAAACTAGCGGTCAGCAGGTTAGCAGTTAATTATATTAGATTGTACTTAATTACGTTAGATTGTATTTAATTTCAAAATCCATTAGTTCTTCGAATAATAGTTTGTGTTCGATACATTCGGTTTCAAACTGAAAATACGTACACTGAATGAATAAGTTTGGTCAGGTTTGCATTTATCGAACAATATGAACTTGCTTCTCTTTCGTTAAATATTAACAATATAAATATACATCTTACATTTTTTGTAAGATAAAAAATATGAAAGCAAACTTCCAAACTTAATTCACTATAATCTCTGTTATTTTCTATTTCATTTGGGAACTTCCTCTAACTGTCCTAAAAATAGCGCTTAAGTCTAAACTGCGTCATTCAAATTAATCATGCGATCTTACTTAACCCATAATGCAGATGCCTCTCGACCAATCACCAAATTGCAAACCGAAACTTTTCTCTTCGCGTGCTTCCATCTTTCATAACTACGCACTTCAGCTTTTGCTGTCTACTGTGCTAAGATATAATTTCGCTGGCTTGCTTTCTATCTCAACAATATCAAAAATGTAAATCTTGTGGCCACAAATATGAGTTGCAAATAAAAATGGAATTAAAACTGCCTCGACTGCCAAGTTCTTTAGATATTACCAAGTTAACATTACTAGCATACTACGCAATCGAAATGTTCTTCAATATGGGTCTAATCACGCATCTACAGTGTTCTGTCTTTTCTTTGCTTTTATTATGAGATATATATATATATATATATATATATATAAGTTAAATTTAAAATCAGAAGGAAATAGAATATAGTATCCTAGAAAACCAATTTAAAAGGATAAATTATAGAATGAAGTAAAATGTAAATTGAAATGTTAAATATGTTGAAATTTTTTACAACTATTGTAACCTAAAAACTATGAAAATGCAAATTAATTATTAATTTTAATGCTTCAAATGGACTCGTAAAGGGCGAATAACTTAAAGCACTAAAGTGAAAAAAAACGAGTAAAAACACTCGTTTCGATTCGTCCACTTGATATTTGGAGCATCAAAATTTAAAAAAAAAATTAAAACAACGTAGAAAGTGAATCGACGCAAAATACCAAAACGAAATT